AACTTGGAGTCCCGACACTTCTGGCATATGTAGACCTCCGGGACGTTCGACTTGCGGATTTTGGCGCAGGAGAGGTGGATCCAGGTATGGCACTCGTTGCACTCGATCATCGGCCGCCCGGCGAAGGGTTTCATGCAGAAGCAGGTGACGAGGTCCCACGAATCATCATCTGGAGAGAGAGAAGCAGCAGGTTACGCTTTTTCCTCCCAGCCTCCTCCTCCTGCATTCCACCTGCACTGTGAATTATTTTCCTTTTGAGTTCAAGTAGCTACCTGGATTTCAAAGACGGGCACGTCACCGATTTTTCCAGGGCTTAGCAGAGTCTCTGCCAGCTCTTGCTCTGGAAGAGAATCTCAGCAACGCAAAAGAGGCAGTAATGCAGGGAGAGGAGTAAAGCAGCTGCTTCCATGAAGCCACAACTTTCCAATTGCCGTGCGAGAGCAGTCGGCCCCGCTGCGCGACAGCCCCACACGCCACTGAACGTGCCCAGAGGCTGAACCTTCATAGCGTCCTCATGCTGCGGGTGACGCAGCAAGAGGATCTGTGACAGCCCCATCGCTGCTGTGCAGCTAAGTGTCTCGCAGCCCTCCTGACAGCCAGGCCACCTACCCGAATCCACCATAATGTCCTCGTCGTCACCGGTGCCATCCTCGTCCCGAAAGACCACCTGCTTGCCCTGCCGAATGACCGTTCTTTTACCCACGCTCTGTATCTCCACAGTCTGCTCGGCCGCCACGGCGGGGTAGGAGGCGCTGGACGGCGTGTCCGAGTCCCACGCGGAGCAGTGCTCGGCAGCGGACTGAGGATCGCCCTCGGACGAGGGACTCAGCGCGGCCTCCACAAAAGAGTCCTCGGCCTCCAGCTCCAGCAGCTTCTCCTCATAATCTTCCTCTGCAGACACTTCTGTCTCCCTTCTCTTCAGCTTCTTCTTCTTCCTGATCTTATCAATCTGCTTGCGCTCCGGCAGGAAGCTGCCGGGTTTGGCTCTCTGGAACAGGGAGCTGTACGATTTTGTTCGCTTAAGCTGGCTGAAGCTCTTTCTGTTCTTGGCGGACAAGGAAACGGAGGAAGGGACATCGTTGAACCGGGGGTCCCAGCTATCGCTGTCAATGGTGCCGCCGGTGCTGTTGGGGGGGCTGGGGCTGTTCCGCAGGGGCGTCTCCTAGGAAACGGTAAGAAATGGGACAAAACCTGAGTTTCAGCAGCAGCTTTGGGGGAGGGGGTGACACGGCCTCTCCCGCCATCTCCCTGCACGTCGCTGCTGCGCTGGGTGCCCCGGTGCCCTGCATGGGTTCGTGCTCCCGTTCTCTTCCGTGCGCTTTGGGGCCTCAGCTCCCGCGGACAATTCCGGCCACGGAAAAGGCTGCCAGGCAGCGCGAGGGGGAGCGCGGGGGCTGCGGCCGCCCAGGTCTCAAGGACAGTAAGGAGGAGCCCTGGGACACGTCCCGGGAAGGGAAACGTCTACAGCAGCAGCACGCGAAGAGGGGCCAGGCAGCCTGGTGGCGCGAGGGCTCCGCGCGCTGCTCCGGCTCCCGGCTCGGCCGGGAAAAGGCCCCGTTGGGAAGGGCCGGCCGCGGCGCTCGTACCTCCTGCGGGTAGGGGATGTATCCCGCGTAGGCCAGCACGAAGGGGCAGAACTTGT